TCCTGATGCTGCATCCTTCTTCTTATAATCTAGCTTCTCTGATTATTTTCTCAGCATATAGATTGAATAAGTATGTTGAGAGTAGACAACCCTCAGGCACACCTTTCCTGATTTTAAACCAGGCAGTATTCTCTTGTTCTGGTCACACAACTGCTTCTTGGTACCCAGACAGGGTCCTCAGGAGCACAATGAACTGTTCTGGAATTCCCATTCTTCTCAAAGTTATCCTTGGTTTGTTATGATCCACACAGTTGAATGCCTGTGCATGGTCAATAAAACACGGGTAAATCTCTCTCTGGTATTCTCTGCTTTCAGTCCCAATCCATCTGACAATAGGACAGGGTTGAATTTGGAATCATCTACAATTGTAACTATTCTGAAGAAATCCCTCTTCCTTCACTGTTCCCAGCATGTCTTACTAGCTAGAAGTCCAAAGTCCTTCTAGATGGGTGATTATGCAATGTGGTCCCTGTACTGCTTGAGATCTCTGATTGCCATTTTTCTCCTTTTCAGTGATTTGTAACATTCAAATAGGTGATGAAGAAGAAACCCAGTTCATCCACGAACAAGGTAATTAGAACTTTGTCAAAAACGTATTTTCTCATCTTCTAAAAGGAAAGGAGATAATAATTCGGGAGAGTGGACACCCGGTGAATATTGTGACTTTGGAGAAGCCATGCAGAAGCAAACAGGGATTCCAGAGCAGTGGTGTTTTGTATGGGTTGTTAATGAACTAACTAGGCTTGGAATCCAACTGCCAGGCAGACATGGCAACCAAGAGGACAGAGCATGAATTCAAGAGAGAAAACTTCCGTGGGACTGTGAGCCAGAATGAAGGAAAACAGTGGACTGCGATAATTCTGAGGTAGAAATCAATAGAGAGGGGAAGAAGTAAGGGTTACGTAAAAGTTTTAAACAGGAGACCTTTGAAGACACAAGCATTGTACATGTGTGAGACTTTGCTTTAAGCATTGGGCTGCTAGTCAGAAGGTCAATGGTCCAAACCCATCAGCCACTCCAAGGGAGAAAGATGAGGTCATCTGCTTCCATAAAGATTTACAACCTCAGGAACCCTATGGAGCAGTTCTAGTCTGTCCTGTAGAGTCGGTGTAAGACAGAATTTACTTGACAGCAGTGAATTGTGGTTTAGAGAATGATCATTCAGCAGGAAAGGCAGTTATTTATAATATGAAAAAGAGTGCATGCAATTATATGCAATAGAGACTGTGGAAGGAATAAAGCTTTGCAGAATGAGAAGAAGAAAGAAAAGAAGTTAAGGACAGAGATGGGCAGAATGTTGTTGTTATTAGGTGCAATCAAGTTGATTCTTATTCATTGGGATCCGATACACAGCAGAATGAAGCACTGCCTGGTCCTGCACCAGCCTCACTATCATGTGAGCAATCAACTCTTTGAAATGCTCACATATGGATTATAATGTTTGCAACCAATAACTACTATTTCTAGATTTTTAAATCATCCTTGCATTTCTATTATTACTAATAACTATTGAATACTAACACTTAAGACATTGGCATGATTTTTTTTTTGCTAAGTTACTAGAACATAAATAGCTCTTTACATGAAACACCTCATTTAAACCCCTTAACAGCCCATGAGAAAGTTTTTGTTACCTACATTTTTCTGTAGAAAAAACTAAGGGATTGTGTTAGTCTGGGTACATTAGAGAAACAAATCCACAGAAACTCACGCATAAGAGAGAGTTTTATATAAAGGTTAAGTGCACATCAAGAAAACATCCCAACCCAGTGCTGCCCAAGCCCACAAGTCCAACATTA